CTAATACGGTCATGGAAGCACGTAAACCATCAAACCACGTCACGGCGCAGTCTCGTCTCGTTTTAACATTGAAGTATTTATCTGACTGGCCGCGGATGACCTTCCGGAGGATATCATCTGTGGATTGAGCACCACATCGACAAGCGTTCTCATGGCAGCATGATGGCATTTCCGGTGATATGGCTCCAAGCGCTGACATATGCAATTCGATCAGCCAGTCACTGGGTCAATAAACTTTATGATGCATTTGGTGGTGCACAGTTTGATAAACAGTCCAAGTTGGTGTATGTTGGATGGTTGAGTGTGTTCTGTAGGTTCCGTCGGCTGATCATGTGTAATGTAATCGTAAGAAATATGTAGAAAACAGGATGTTCATCGGGATTGAATGAAATATATATACGGACAGAGAATCGCCATATAAGTGAAGAGATTTTCATAAGGAGGTTTGGGAGTGTCACTTTCCCCTGCTCTTTAGCTGGGTTGATTTGCTTGCACAATTCCGCTTTCGCAGAGTAAGCATTTTCCCACTGTATGAACATGTGAGAAAGTGACTAGGAATATCCGAAATGAATCGCTCGCTCACCGACTCGTTTTCTCAATAATCATAATTATTATGAATTCGGGATCTTTATATGCAAACCTTTGTTATGGTTCTTAGGTTCTACAGGAGATCTATGAACTCAGTATCTGCCTCAGTCTTGTGCCCATTATTAGCCTGATGTTGTGACCTTAAGCTGTTCAGTTCCGCACTGTTCGGTTTCGGGTAGAGGCTTAACAGGGTTGAGTCACGTTCTTGGAGAAACATTCCGTAGTGTTTCCGTTATAACGAGCTTTACGACTACGGGTTAACTGCTGATGCAATGTATCCTTAAGCTGCTGAATATTCAGTGGCTTGATCTTCTTGAATGAACCGCTGCAATAAGTTTGTCAATGACTTTTGATAAACGGTGTTCCAGCATTTCCAGTAACCTTATCGTATTTGAGAAAGGGCTGTGTTCTCCTTTCTTGGAGTTGTCTCTGTGAGTGGCGCAGGCGCCCTTATTCTCTCTCTGATTCGGGTAGGACACTTGCATTGCGATATTCGGGGTTCTAGAGGCAGCTTCATTAGCTCACGAGATCTTTTTTTACATGATCGACCGAGGTATGAACAAACTCTCAAACCACCGAGATTCATCCCAACCGCTTTTCTCTTTGTCCAGATTTGAACGTAAACCCGACACGTGAGCCTCAAACACGGCGCTTCATTCGCACATTACAGTTTGGCGCGACCATTCAGGTACATCCAGAATTTTTTATTGATGCTTCTTTTCTGTACTCTAAACACTGCGTCTCACCTTTCATTCTACGATGCATAAAATGATGGAATGACCGTTTTTTTCGATCATAGCACCATCATAGAGCCAGTTATTTCGTGTATCTAACGAAAAGCGTTGTACCACAAACAAGTTCAAATTCAACTTTTTATTATGAGAAAAACTTACAAAGACTTCGCTTATCAAATCCCATAGGGTGTTTACACTTGGGGTGCGGAACACAATTCATAAGATAACAGGTAATCCATGTAATTAAAATAGTAATGTAATGCTTTTGAAGAGCATAGGAAAATATATTATGTAGTTAGGTGTTGGAACGTAATGTTTGCCGTAACATCATGAAGCTGACGCTTAGAAGATACCAATGTTGGCGCACAGACCACGTGATGTGGTAGAGTGTCATGTGCTGTGCACTGTACACTTTGACTACAAACGAATGGCGTCTGCAGTCGAGACGGCTCTTTTGAGTGCCAACTTCAGTAGATGCCCTCTGAAATGAACATTGATAGAACCAAAATAGATCTACATGGATGGTTGGGCTGTTGAAAAATCCGATATAGTAAGATCATGTCACCTCTGATTCGGTGATATTGAGACGAGTATAGGCCCAATACCTGTAACCTTTCGTCATAGGTCTTGGAATGTAGACCTTTGACCATCTTGGTAGTCATTCTCTGCGGATGTTCGAGCGCCTTCTGACCTCGCTGCAGCCATGGGTTCCAGGCCTGAATTGACTACTCGGTGTATGGACAGATATATGTGACCAATAGACGTGGAAAGAAAGCCGGCTCAAACAATCCAAAAGCACGTTTAAGTAACCTCTTTTTACTGCCATGTATGATGCCATGAAACAGTTTGTGGAGCAATTCAAGTCTGTGCGAATGACTATTCCCAGATTCTTCTCGGGTGGAGAGTTGATTTGCAAGTGGACTAACGCAGTGAAAAACCGTCTCCGATCGAGCAGTTAATTAACTAACCCCATCACAAATGTGGATTGCACAATGAAGAAAAAACTGCAGCTGATAAACCACTCGGCAGGCAATGAGAGCTTGTACCCTCAAATACAGTGCCACCCTTTCCAGTTTTTTTGTTCGTCACACAAAATAGTGTAATATAAAAACGCTATTGATACAGGGAATCAGCGGCTTCGAGACAAATAAAGACAACAGTTAGAGTTTGGGTGGAAAGCAACGCTGACAATAACAACGACCACAGCCACTTTTTGCCATATTAGTACTGTATAATTTGCTTTCATCATTGAGTCAGACTGTTTGCTAAGAAAGAGACGACCTCAACTTTGATGATATAACAGCATTCACTTGTAGAGTCTTTCTCGTTAATAATAACAGTAATAATCTGATATTATCTTGCGGGGCATGGTTCCACTGCTCCCTCGAGGGAATCTTCAACTACCCCAGGGATTTGTATTGTCGCCTCTGACGTTCGGTTCAAATTCCCGATTTCCATTGTTAGTTCACACACAGATTCACACAAATCTTCATTGACCACTCCATCCATGGAGTTCCTTTATTGACCGAACAGGAATTCTGCTCTTTGGTCAAACTCCGTTGCTCGTTGAATCGCTGAGATACGGTATCTTTGGAGGTAGCATACCATGGTAGGTTGCCGATCGCAACTGCTGAGCAAGATCAGAAAACCTTCAATTTGTTGAGCACCACGTGAAATGCAAAAGAATAACTGAATGCGTGGGCGAATAATGACGTCTACTTCTGATTAACCTACGTAACAAACGTCATGGTTTCTGTTCGTGTAACAATAGGCGGTCTCACGTAAAAGTGCAACGAATCGAGTCATGCTAAACCTTATACAAACATATACATGTTGAGTGAATTTTCAGCTTTCTGCATCGTTTTAACTGCGAATGTTCTTAATAAATTTGAAGTTCAACAATGAAATTAACGAAACGTGACAGATTTTTGAAACAAGTAACCGTTAGCTACTTTTTACGGGTCGACAATGACACGCGATAAATGTGGAAGATAAGCGATCTGATCAACTGCCCTGTGGTTCAGTAGGTAGTTTGCCTGCGTTCCTATTTCTGAGGTCCTGGCTTCGATCTCCAGTCGGGTCAATAGATTCTCACTACTGATGGAACCCAACCAGGTTAAAATAGCTGTCCATTACATCCCAGCTTTTTTTTGTGTCTCATTCGCACGACTAATTCATCATTTGTTTAATCAAGCCAAATCCTCCACCATTCACGTAGAAAATATCGCAGCACAAGATTATTTGCAAAACGCATCACAGGCCAAAACGCAAGCGGAGAGCTGCTTACACTACGCAAAATGAACTGCAGCTAATACAATCTAGTCAAACCCAGTTTTGTGCCGCATTCTTAGAACGAGACGAGAGCACTGTTAGAAAAATTTGATGACCTTGTTTCCATCATGCATCAGAACGAGTACAAAATTGACGAAGTATTCATGGTTAAAGAATCTTGGCTACGTGATGAAATGCTAGACGGAATCGTGCAAATCGATGGTTCCAATTCCTACAAAGTCGATCGCCCGGTAAGTTCTCGAAATCGCTTGGGTCTCATCACATATCAACTCCTGATGGTCAACATCTACTTCTGCGATTTATGAATACCCAACAGAAACGATTTGGTGGTAGACAGCTTTGCTGTCATCCGGTTCAATATCATGCCTAACCTATCGGGCCTTATGTGGTTCGCCACTCCAAGTCCCGGGGCGTATGTTACTGGTTTCCATCGATGAACAGCAGGTCCTCGTGACTACGGGGTTTAGCCCGTCTGCTGTTCATCACACTTAGTTTGTAATAGCTGATATGTGTTTAGGTGTAAACTACGATTTGTTATTGTTAACCGTTCGCTCGTAGTGGGGAATGTTTGTATGACCCTATGTACAGCCTCCAGAGAATTTAAAATATTTTCCGAACATTCAACATGCTTCCTTATTTCCCTAACGGACTTATCACTTATCCAAAAACAGCACGACACAACATTTTTTTCAACTCTTGACCTAGGGAACTTAGTGAACTTCCCCGATAGACTCGAAGCTAATTTAGATTTGATATTTACCATCTGTGAACAAATATATTCTGTGTAATAACGCGTACTAGTCGGAATTAATAAATGGTGCGCGTTATTACGCAGAAAATATTTGTTCACAGATAGTAAATATCAAATCTAAATTAGCTTCCAGTCTATCGGGAAAGTTCACTAAGTTCCCTAGGTCAAGAGTTGACTAGATTGTATTAACTGCAGTTCATTTTGCGTAGTGTAAGCAGCTCTCCGTTCGCGTTTTGGCCTGTGTATGTATGTAGTACGAATTTTGTAAACTTATTTACATGGTAACTGATACTAGTATTAATATTATTATTTATATTATTGCCATGTTTCAAGCTGGTCGGGGTTCCAAGGGAAACGGTGAAATGCGGCGATGTTGAGATTCGCGTTTACTGCCTCCGATGCGTTTTGCAAATAATGTTGTGCTGCGATATACATATTCTTGTACCATTTTAATAGTTGTGAACCATTTCTGTTTCTTCTTCTCTGATGTGCTCCATCCTGCTCGCTTTCGACTCCATCAATCTCTACAGGACGTATTAGCTACCCTGGGTTCGCCAAGCCGCATTTTTTACAAGACTGAGGATAAGATGCAAATTCATATGCCCAAATGGTACCGTCTCGATCAACCACGTCGCTCTGATTATTTTTTCAACTATTTCACTCTCGGTGTGGACATTCTGATCGATGGACAAACTCATCAAGTGATCAAATTCGTGCTTCATACCAATCAACCGGGGGAATATACGTTCAATACGTGAGTTCAGTGCACCCCTTCCCCACACTTCGCCCCCCGCCGTGCGTGTTTCACATTGTGTGCTCATTCGTGTCTTGTCCTTCACTTTTCTCCTCAATAATTGTTTCTTTG